TTTTTAAATAAAAGTAATATAATTCATATAGAAATTTTTACTAGTATTTGGAACTCAAAATTATTCCATATCTTATTGGAGGTTGGATATTTGCAACAATGTTTAAAAGTATTGAGGGATTTGATAATATCTTTTTCAACAAATTGAACTAAGAAACAATAGTGGTATTTTAAAAAAAGCTTTGAAAAAACATTCAAAATTTAGCGATACCATTATTATCAATAAGGGTTATTTTACAATGCAAGAATCAAATAAAAAGAGTTCAAAAAATGGATAATGAAATGACATAATAATGCACAATGTCTCATTAAGAAGCTTTGCTCAATCAGTTTCTTAATCCAATACACTATTCACTAAAAAAAGATTTTCACAGTAATACCATTTAAACTATATGACAATCAAGTAGATAGACAAAAATAGTTGTGTGGTGGTTTGGTAATATTTTGAAAGTTCAAATGGCAATACATTGAAAAAAAATAAAAAAAAATAAACAAAATAAAATACTATTCATGAAGTTTTATTTATCTATTTATTACTTCTCAGTTTCTGTATTTGTATCTTAATTTTTACAATGATTTTCTGTTGGCAACATTGTGTATGTATGTATGTATGTATGTATGTATGTAATTTGTTGTCGGGCAATGCTAATGATCAAACTACTTTTGGATGGAAAGTTTTGAATTTTGTTCTCGATTTGAACCATGCTTTACCAATAACTTGAAAGCCTTTTCACCTTTTTCTAAAAACCAAATAAAATTTGACAGTTCATTGTTCCTTGTGCTTTGGATGGAAATATAATTAAAAGCTAACTCCTCTGTTCTAGACATTGTGCTGAATGTTGTTCTGCAATTAGTGTGGTTGTTCCCCAAATTTATTTTATTTTATATTATTTTTTTGATTGATGTGCGGCTATTTTTGTACCTCATTGTCAAGCTACAATTCTCATGCACATCTTCTGTTAAATACATTAATAAATTAATAATCATAATAATCATAATAATAACATTAAATGACTTACACAGCATCAATGGATGTTAAAATTTTGGTAGTGGGTAGGATTGGCATTTCATTCCCATGCAATAATGCATTCAATGCCAAAATACATTTATCAAGTACATGCATCCATAAGTATGGACAATGATTGATGTTGAGTAAAGTTCTAGGCTCCATCAACTATCATATGATAATTTTGCATCAATTAGGGGAAATCCCTTATAAGTAGGCATTATAAAAACCTATACCACAATCAAAATTATTTGCATATTTTCCTTCAATGAATCAAAAGAACGTAATGGAGACAAAAAAAAAAAAAAAAAAAAAAGAGAACTTAGTTGATATTTTCTTTCAAAAAGAGAAGAAGAGAAAGTGCACAAGCAAATACCATTTTTCACAAATGAGAATTGAGAAATGACCTAATTTTGCAACGTTTTTCCTCCACCACTCATTTTCCAATTTTATCACATTCACCCAAGTAAAAAAACAATTCCACTATTAGATTTTCGTATTTAAAGTATTTTAAAAAATTATTGTAAAAACCCTACCACGTTCTAATATCTTCCAATTAATTCCCATTTGCAATATAATCAAAGAAAAAATAAACAAAGGTCTCGCCCTTTTTTAACCCCATTCTTGAAACCTGAAAAAGTCGAGGAGGAGGGGCGATGGGGGGCGTGAATCCCAAACGGGTCAAGCAACGCTCGTTGTCGGCCGTGGATGGCTGTGGATGGCAACGACCAGACTGGTGAGTGGAACCAGAATGGCCGCGAGCTCTCTCGCTCCCACAGGGTGCGAAACCGATATCGGGCGGGGCTTTTGAGGGGAGATGCGCTGACGAGCCCCGAGATTTGATTATTACGTACCATGACAGCCGCTGACGCATCCAGCGCTGCTGAGTAGATGAACTACCCCGACGCCCATCTGACAGCGTGTGCGGACTGGGCAGTGTGAGCTCTCCAGCACTGATTCAACCCTGGGCTTGACCGTGAGGGATCCGTGCTCTTGCCGGCCTGGCCTGGCCTGGGTTTGCTGCCCCGACGCAGATTCCGTTGGTTGTGTGGTCGTTGTGTTGGGGATGGTCACTGACATCCCTTGCTTTGTTTTCGTCGCATCTGGACTCGGTGTGGAGAGTCCTTGTTGATACTGGTGCGTCTGGAGATGGCTTCCCCGTAGATGTAGGATTTTCTACCTAGGGTTGGAGCTTGATTTGCTCAGTTTGTCCGTGAATATCAGAGATGGAAGCCTTGCGAGTTTATCCTCGTATTTCATTCGACATTCGTTCACCGTATCAGTATTTTTCGGTTGCCAGATGCAGTTATGAGGGGTTCTGACATGAAGTCAAATTTATTGTAACGGATGGTGATAATCAAGGTCGAATCCAAAAGCAAAATCTCGAAAAATGTGTTGCACGTAAGTTTTGCAAAGGTGCTCAAGTGTGTGCCTTTCATACAATTCCTCAACAGTTCCGCGTCTTGTCGGATTGTCGGTAATTCACGGCAGAGCCTGGAAACATCCGGTCTACCTTTCGAAAGTTCTCGCAATACCGCCATGTCAGGGAAGCGGCGAAGATGAGGACCTCACACTGGTGGGGCCAGGGCAGGTAGGCATGCGTGGAATGGTGTTAACACCCTACTGGTAGGACATGTGTTGCCAAGCACGAGATGCAGCGACCCACTGTGTACAGTCGGTAATCGATAATCTCGTTGCGGCGCCGATGGGGCCTTCTCATATACAGAACGGAAGAGTATTTTCGCGAATCCAGACTATTCGGGCTTGAAGGATCACGGAACGATTCATTTTGTGTGTTCAACAGGGAATGAATAATTATGGTTGAAATCGGAATCCTCGTGCTGGTTTTGGTCAACTGATTCGGCACAATTGTACGAAAACGAGAATGAAGCTTAGTGGGGCATTGTTGAAAGTTTTACATAGTTTTAAAGTGTGAGTAATTCTTCATTCCTTCAGTTTGGTTACGATAGTCTCATGAATTGTTAGCGTAATCTTCATCAATTTTCGGTATGGTAGGTGTGCACAAATAAACATTAAATTTTACAGATGTTTTTTAGGGGTTTTTTTTTTGTTGGATACACGAAGGCCTGCACAAAATGGGCGAAATACCATTACTGATTTAGGAAACGAGATTGATTGTGTGATTTTTTTTTTGGAGGAGGTACTGAACACATACAAAATAAGTCATCGTATTACCGAAACAGCGGTGTCGGTATCCTGGAGTCGGAATTCAGCAAAAACATTTCTCTTTCCAGTTCAGTCTTTTCAAAGGTAAGGATAAGCGTGACAAACAGGGAAGGTGCTTTACATGTGCTAGTTGTGACGAGTTTAATGTTATCGTGTTGAATGGTAAGACGTATGAATAGTGAAGAATTTTTGGTGGGGACATTCGATCCTGAATGGTTCAAGTGCCAAAAAACCAATAACGTGGGTCCACAGTAACTTCAAACAACCAGAAGTGGTAGTTTTGTACAACAAATGTCGCAAATTAGCTCTAAAAAAGTCTGTTCTCTAAATCCTATCTAAAATATCATGCCTTTCGGTGATGGACTCTTGGGCAAAAGAGTGGTCCTCTCTTTCTTAAATTAATAACAGATTCAAAAAAAGAATCTTGCACTCCTTCAATTGATATGCTTGATACAGTTCACAAAAATAAGATTGTTCATGGATTAAAGTTAGTATTGGAACGAACTATATTGCAATAGAAATAACTTTACAGATAGAGATTTTGGAGTAGCTTCATAGTGAGAAATTAAAACAAGTATCTATTGAACAGACATGTCATGTAATTGTTTTAAAATAAGTTAATTTAGATACAATTGTTATTGTCATTAATCAAATTTACTAGATACCATTCAAAAAGCAAGTATAAATGGCAGTAATGCTTAACCATTAAAGTACAAGTTAAGCTTAGGACATATGGTCTTTATACTTCTTGCTCTTTGTATATTAATATATATTCTTACAAACAAACATTTATAGTTATATGGTTGCTTCAAACTAACTACAAATAATAATTTAACATTTGCACAATTTGAATATTTTTAATTCTAAGATAAGACATGGATGTGGATCTAAAAAATGTTATACTACAAAACATGTAAATAAATAAATAAATAAAAAAAAAACCAAGATTGTTGTGGAAAATTTTATAATTAAGATTTTAATAAAACAACAACATATGTATATATAACTTATTTATGTACTAACATAATTTTTTTTCTTTAAAATTATTCACAATTACAAAATATTGCTTCACTTGTAGCAATGTTGCAAAGATTACTAGTGAAATATTTATTTTATGCTTTTTAAGTGTTCATTGTTATCTTCCATTGCCAATTTAATTACACTAGTAAGGTTGTTTCTTAAACTTAAAATTGGAATATATATCTATTTGATGGGATTTTTTTTTTTTTTTTAGTCATATCTTTTATTAAAAATATAATATTTTCTATAATTTATGTTGACTTCAAAATATAGATTTCTAATTAATTTTGTTACCGAAGTGATTACATTAACTACACACCATAAAACCAAAATAAACTTCTTAGAAATAGCCTACACAAAGGATTTCACCAAATATCAATTTGGTGGAGCGTGGACATCGAGTCCTATAACATGCACAAAATGAGGTAATATTTCCTTCATTGGACGTCCCCACCACAATGCATTTGGACTAAGAAGACATTTGCCAAACCCTAACCCAACTGTAAAACTAAAACGATAGCAGCTATTTTGTGTTATGAAAAGCTACTTTCCATCTGTGATTTGTACCTCTGCAAATTTGATCAGAAACGCAACAAACGAGAGATGGATCCCGAAAACCCCAACTCACATGGTGCGGCCAACGCAAGCGTCTGCTCAACACCAAAACTCCGAGGCATTTCCAGTGTCTTTGCAAAACTCGGAGCTTGGGGCCTACCGATCCCATCGGCTTTACATAATTCAGATTGACCAAGTCTGACGCATTTTTCAAACCATACTTCGTCACCATATCTGACATTAGAGCACGGGCCTTTACTATCTGAGCTTTGATTTGGGGATCACATCTTGTAACTCATGCCGTCACTGCCATGAACAAATTGTGCAGGCACTCTATCAGAGAAGCGTGTCTTTGACTGCGAGTTTATCAATTTTCTAGTTGTGGAGGGATCAGCTGTGGTTGCTTTAAAAATTCTCAAGTACAGAGAGGTGCTTCCAGTTCAATTTCGTGAACTGCGAATCGTAGTGAATTTCGCATATATGGTGGAAGGGAGAGACTACTTGAAGTGGCGCTCCATAGGTGTAGAGTTAGACAACGGCCCCGCCGAAGATCGAGCATACATCCTCAGTTGCAAGGATTGGAAGGATTCGAGTGATAGAGAGTGCGGTGTCAGAATTTGAGTGAGGAAGTGCAGCGAAGAGAGGGGAGACTGCAAAAGCGTGAGCGAGGTTGTATCAGCCAAGTCGTCTGAGAATGACGGCAGAGATACTTTCACAGCACTGGGAAGCGCAAGGTTTGGGATGGGGCTGCGACACGCAGCGCATTGAGGAGGAGAGGGTGTTGGACAACTTTCATCAATGTGGAGTTCCAGAGGTCGAGCTCCAGCAGCAGATCTTCTTTCCGGAGTCATACTTCTACTTTCCCAACGCGCTCTGTTCAAACGTGCCATTCCAGTTGGACACGAACAGCTTTCCTTGCTCACCAAGCCAATTTAGTGATGGAACTCGCAGCCCACCCTCCTCGAGTCAACGAAGTGATGGAGCTCGTAGCAGTGGCGCCGTGCTATCTGAACAGACCGACGAAGCTTGCAGTGTGGCATCCCTAGGCAGCAGTAAAGGGATCGACCAATGGGCCACAACTTTGAAGAGGACGTTGGGGGAGAACTTTACGGAAGAGGTGCGCCCGAAGATGGTTCCATACATCGATGTAGACGACTTCCTTTGTTTCGATAACGTGCAAGATCAGCCGGCAAGCCCGCCGAGTACAGAGGCGTCAAGCCTTTGTGAGGACTTTGACAAGGCCATGCACTCTGGTACCGAGAGGCGTCCAAACTCTTGCACAATCAAGCGCCCACCACCGCCCCTTTCCATTCCTTCCACGTCACAACCCACCAGTTCATTGTTTAGAGATATTGCAAACAAGCCCGTAAGTCCCTGGCGCTCCAAGCGTATTCAATGCCAAATTCCAGAAGTGCTTTGCACAGATTTTTCACAAGCAGAGGGATTCCCCTCCCTGGATCAAAACGACCTCGAAGATTTGTTCAGCTTCTCACTCCTCAAGGAGACCGGACAAAACACCATAGCGTGTCCGATTCCGCGAGAACTTGCGTCTGCCTGTGTCAAAGTAGAGCAGGACTGTCAACCTCGACCCACAACCACCCCACAGAAGCTTGCCAAACAACCACAGCCCCACTACAGGGGAGTAAGACAGCGGCCTTGGGGGAAATTCGCAGCCGAAATTCGAGATTCAGCCAAGAACGGTGCACGGGTATGGCTTGGAACCTTTGATACTGCAGAGCAAGCAGCATTGGCTTACGATCGAGCAGCTCTTAATATGCGAGGCTCACGCGCTCTCTTAAACTTCCCACTCAAAGCCACCACCGCTCTGTCCAACCCTGAATCACTGCCTCGCCCTCCGCTGTCGTCCTCATCTTGCCGACAAGCGGCGAAGAATTCTCAAAAGCAAAGATGTATCCACAGTCTTACGAAGATTGCGATCGCATCGAGCAACAAGAGGCCTAGCGCTGTGGCCTCCGCAGAAAGCTATGAGCTTAAGCGGCCGCGTGTGAAGGATGAGCTGCTGGTCTAAGGAAGGATCATGGCTCTCCTGTTGCAATTTTTGTGCAGAATACTGTAGAGTTCTTCACGAAAAGCTCTTGGTTCATGGAGAGTGGTGTTTCGGTACATAGAGCGGGGACGATCATTATCCCCTTTCAACTCTCACAAAGCTTCGTAGAGGAACCGCTGGTTTAGGCATCATCAATGTATCGATAGATTACAACGCCATTGGAGTGTGTACAACAGCTGAGAATGCTACAACATGGAATTTTCGGGGCGTCTGCTCCTTCTCGCACATCATTTATTACCTTGAAACCTCCATTGATTAATCTTCACTCGTGAATTGTGATCGGGATTCACTCATTGCACTACACACTCACTGCTCGTGTTCTCGAATGTGTCCTTCTTGGATGAATCTCGCTTCTTCCCGACATGGTCCGAACAAGAATGACGGCATCGTCATTGTAACCCAAAAGGTTCCAGAAGATCGACTTCATCGGCGCGAACGAGCTCACGAATTCTTGCCTAAATCATCTCTCGCGCCAACGAAAGGAAGCTAGAATCAGGTATTTGCAAGACTTGCTCGGCGGTTGTCCGGTGCGAGAGCAATTGCCAGAGCTTCCCACGATCTGTTGAAGCTTCTATGAGATAGGAGCCCCGATGATTATTAGCTTCTGGTCGAGAAAAACGAGTGATTAGTTGCTAGTAATTAGTAGCTAGAAGATGCAAACTACCAGCCAAAGTATTCAATATCGGTACCATGAAAGGAATACCCAGAATTGGATTCTCTAGCGAAGTTACACAACCAGCAATTTTTTTCAGATAAAGGTGCCATTTTTTTTGCAACAGTAAACGTGATGGAAATGCCACATGCACATTTGGAGAAAGTTTCTGGACTCTGGAATCACAGCAAAAGTGAATTATTAACACCTCTTGCTCTGACCTGCTTTCAATCACTGCACAGAGTTCTATCGGCTGTTATACTCAGTTAAATCCCATGCGAAATACAGTTGAGCTACCCTATATCTACAAGCACATCACAACGTTCATATCCCCAAATATCAATTCCGCAACCTCGGAGCATTCTTGGCTTACCGAGATTCAAGCAGCTCAAGGATCACTGTTCAGTTCCACAATTACCTGGACGGAAACGGAAGACCAGGTTATTCACCAACACTTCGTCATTCGACGGTGAAGACGACTTCAGAATCTCGCAATATTTTGTCCAAACATGCAGGTCTTGAAAGAGTTGAAAGGAAAAGACATCGTCAATTGAAAGCATCTCCCGGAACACCCTTTGCTGACCTCACCAAGACGTGCGAGAGGACGGAGAAACACCGTCAGTTAGGTCCGATGTGCTCATGCTCACACACAATCTTGGTATTTATGATGTGCTTTGCACGAGCCGTTGAGAAAAACTAACACAAAACAAAACAAAACAAAACAGAAAAAAACACTCTGAGTGCTTCTGTAGGCTTCTAGCCTAGATTCCAAGCCTTTGGTACAATTGTGGGTGTCAATCAGAGAAAGAGCCTGGTGATAATGTTTCAATAAAAGATTGAAGAAGCCAATCAACGCTCAGTGGATGAATGTGGGCTTTATGCTCTTGGAATGTTGCAGTGTGGTTTCCACTCATAAAGAAAGATATATCTATCATATAAAATAGCTTAGGGGAGACAGATACAAGGATAAACAAGAGGAAATAAAAACCTTCTCTGATTGGCCGCATGCCTTATTGTTTTTATTAAAAAAACTAAACCAAAACTGAACCACAACTCAGACTATCTTTCTAAATTGCAAAGTTTCCTTCAAGGCATCTTTTATTCGGCCATGGGAAGTGAGGAGTTACACAACCTCGGCATTTGTTGCAGAAAACTTGGTCAAATTTTAGCTTTGTTTTTTGACAGTAAGGTTTCAAGAAATCTCAAGATTGCAATAAGATATGACTCTTGATATAGCTCAAGTCTTGCCTCTAAATCCCATTGCCCTTCAAAGCTTGTGCCATGCTAGTACTTGATTGCTCAATTCATTAGGCTTCTTCCACGGATTTTGTAAAAGAAATAGCAACAGTAGTAAATCTTCATGATCCAAATAAATCATTTGTATTTCATGCTGCTATTGTAGTTGTCATAACATGATCACTAATGGCTTAATTTGGTGCTAAAGATTTAGCTCATGAATACACTTACTCAAAGAACATAAACACATTCAAAGTTGTTTTTTACACAATAATAAATCATTGGTTTTAATACAAAAAAAAAAGGATCTACAAAAAAAAAAATCATCTCAATGATCCTAAATTCACACTGAGGCAACTATTCAACAATGCATAACATATTGGCAACATCAATATACATTTGCTTGAAATGTTTCTAATGATTAAACTTAATGGAATCATAAAAACATTAGCTCAATTGAGTTTTTAGTACAATGTAATGAACACAATGAAAATGAGCACAATGTGATGAAAAATTTAAATTGGTTAATACAACAATTGCAAATGGAACATACAATGCATCTGATGATGCAACATCTCAAAACAATAGGTTAAACTACTGAAACATCACATGAACATAGCAATTAATATATCACTTAATCTAAGTTTTGATTCACTTTTGATCAAAGCTTTTTGATAAATACAATGAAATTCAAGTCAAATTAAAGAAGGTTTTTATCTCTTCTTGTTTATCCCTTCTATTTGTCCCCCCCTAAGTTTATATATATATATATATATATATATATGTATATATATATATTCCATAATAAAATTAAAAAATCAAACATTAATATGTATCTAATTTTTAAGAATTTAGATTGCTAATGATAAGGTATTATTATATGAAGTTCTAAAAAATTAGTCTCTACTTAATTTTTAATTTTTAATTCTAAAAATAAATTATATAATGTACAAGAATGTGATATAATAATGTAGTTTGTTTTAGAAATCAACCATATTTTTAAAATTGTTACTTTAGAAGATCTATACTTTACATAAAGAAATTAGAATTTGATATGATTGCATAAGTCTAATATAATCAAACACCTTATATTATTATATTGTTTCATTCTGTAAAATATATCTTAAGAATATGTTTGGCATCTAACTATAAAAGTAACATATTCAAAGCCTAGAATTTTCATGTAACATAAAAAAATAAGGTGTTCAAAAACATTCTTCTTGAAAATCTTAATTTTTAGAAATCTCAAATCTAACCAATCTTAAATTCTATTACCATAATATTCTAAATCTTAAAAAAAATATTAAAGAATATAAAAAAATTTGAAATAAAATGTAAAAAAATCTTAATCAAATTCAAAAAAATATCTAATGCAAACATCAAAAAAGCCAAAAAAAATTCTAAGAAAAAATCAATAAATCCTAATCATATATTAAGAAATCTTAAGAAAATTTCATATTTCAAGCAAAAAACTTTAATGAATTATAATTTCTAAACTTCCTTTTAAATTATCATTAAATTTTTTATGCCACTAAAATTTTAAATCATATATATATATATATATATATATATACATCTTTACAAGTTTTCAAAAAGATCTTATTTAAATATTTTAAAAAATATAAATAATATATTTCTTGATTAAACTTGGCTCTTAATTTTAAGTTTGATAAAGAGCTTCAATGACCAAATCTTGTAACCTAATTATTAACTTTTATTCTAACTTATTGAGTAGATTTAATATCTTGTCTTATACTAAATTATAAATATTAATTTTATCCAACCTTCAAATCTAAAACTTTCTAAAAACTAGAAATTAATTTTAATTTTTTAATTTTTAATATTTCTTTGTACATTTGGTTTAATATCTCATAATTAAATAATTTGAATGATAATAAGTAAAAGAAAGACAATTAAACAAACATAGACTTCAAAACTTGTTACAATTGTTTAGTAGTTTTTTACTTGATTATATACACACACACATATATATATATATATATATATACATAATAGGTTTTATTTTAACTAATTCTTTATCTTTCTAATGACATATAAAACATGTAAATTTAAGTTACTATGAATAAATTATAATAGTTCAAAGATAGAAAGTAAAAAATTAAAAATTTAAGTAATTGGATTTTATATTAAGGATAATTAAATTAAGTAATCATAGATTTGAACTTCATTAAGGCTAAAAGTAGTGTGTAAAGTGTCTTATTCTTATCTTCCCACGTACATCCAAGGTGTTACAATCTACATGGAATATATGTACCTCTCTTCTTAACACTACTCTAGCTACTAGTCATCATAGTTTTTTATTAATAAATCATATATATATATATATATATATATATTATAATATTTTATTATGATATTTAGATATATCCAATTAGCATAGGAACCTTGCAAGGGATCTAAATCTTACTCCAATTCTTCATGATTGTCTTCCAAAGTGGTAAAATTATTTTTATCAGAGTCTTCAAAATATATCCTAAAAATTCCAAAAAGATTTTAAATAAATTTCATATAAAATTTTAAAAACAAATCTTATATCTGTAACATCTCAATATCAAAATTTAACTACTTTAATCAATTTTGGTCATTTTTTTATAGTAATAAGATCAATCAAAATCAACTAAAAATTATATTTTCTACAAAAACAACCAAAAAGTCATATTGTTTCTTTTTTATGCTTCTTCTACCTACTACTTAATATAAATAAGTTTCTAATAAGAAATACTTATGAATAAAGGACCAATTTAGATATTTATTTCAATAACTGAACGTAAATTATTGCAATTAAGAAAAAAATATTGAACCAACAAAGATGATTGCTTCATAGACTTTAAATATTGTATTTTTATGATTTTTTATATAATGTGACTTTTTTAACCTATAGGACCTCTTAAATTATAATAAATAGTTAAATAATCAAATGAAATTTCAAATCCTAAATTTTTTATATCTAAACAATATAAAAATATTATTTTAATAAAATTGGCCAATCAAGATGCACTCATGGGACTCACAATTTTTTACCTATTTTTCCTTAATTTAATGCATGTATGGCCCTCAGAAGGAGATACAAGCTCTTTTATAATTGCAAATGAATTGTTTAAAACATAAAATTTATAACTATGCTTGATCTAACAATTTGTAATTAATGTAACTTATGTATAAATCACTTATAATTTATTTTTTAGATGTGAAATACTTTATTTTCATAGGATGTGTCATCTATATATAAGATAAAAATATATATAATTAATATTAATCTTACAAGTAATTATATGGAATAATAATATTATTTAAAAGTATTTATTCTAATTGGTGCATTTTTTTCTTTAATAATTTATTGATAAATCTACCAATAAACTTATTTGTTAACTTTGTATGTCTATTTCTTTAAAAATAATAAATTATTCAGATATTATATTGTGACAAATAATGCTTTAAAAATATTTTTCATTACCTTATTAACGAAATTAAACCTGAGATTGTTAATGTGAGTGAGTAAAGAGGTACACTAAGTCAAATTTGTTCTTATAAGAAATAGATAATAATAATATTTATTATCTCTTCTTTCAATGCATAAATCATTATTTACTTGGTGGCTTAATTAGCGGCCACAAATATATATCTATTGCTTGTGTAAGCTATTTTTAGTTTATTTAATCTAATGAAGTCCTAATTTTATTTTATTAATAGTTTTATTTATAGGCTTGTTATATGTTTCATCAATATTTTGTTAAATAATCTTCTAATTTTTTTAAAATTATTTTATTTATTTTATTAAATTCAAAAGTTAAAAAGTATAAAAAATTAATTAATTGCATTTTGCTACAAGGTTTTAAGCCAATATAGTACCTATTGTAAAATCTATCATATATATAGTTTTGCTTGATATCTAACCAAAAAACTTTGAATTTTTTTTTTATATATTTAAAATATTTTTATCTTGCTTATCTTAGTAATTGAATCTATTATATGAGTATATAATTCGATATTGATGCTAATAAGTTAAGTATAGATATTGAATATTTAGATGTTAGTAAGTTTTTTGATCTTAAGAATATCTTGAACAAGGTTGATCTATATAAAGTTAGATATTTTCTCCTTATTAAATACAATCTATTCATTTTAACTTGTAGAATCAATCAAGATGTCTTGAACTTTGCTTTCGATAGGCATTTTATTTGCATTGCTATTTCTTTACATATACTTGTAGAAATAATTTATATATTCCTATTAATTGGCTCTATTTGTAGTTATCAAGGTCCATACATTAAATAAGGTGATAGTATGGACTATAAAAAAATCTTCCTTATTAGAAAAAAATTGAACATATTCTTTATTAATTAGGCCTTTGCTAAATCATAGAAACTAAGATTTTGAGAGATTTTAGTCAAAATAATATACTACCATATAATTTTACAAAGACAAGAAATCAAAATGTATGCCATTAAATCTAAAATCAAAGAATAAAAGCACCTTAATAGAGCATCTAGTATAAACATAATTATGCTATAATCAAGTATCAATTACCTTTGGTATTATTTAGTAGTAATAGCAATAAATAAGAAATCAATTAATACTACTTTCTTATAGAAATAAGATTGTTTACAACTACAAATTTATATTTGTTGTTACAATACTAACTTGTCTCAAATTCACTATCAAAATTCACACCAAATTAGAAGCTATTGTTTATAAATTTTACAATTCTTTTACAAACTAGTTCATTTATATAACTTCCAAAAAAATTATCAACTCAAAAATCTCACATGCTGCACCATAAGAATAAAAGAGAATCAAATTGCTCAATAAGACCTATTAATATCTCCACTAATCAAGTTGTCTAGATCATTAAACCTTCAACAAAACAAAATCTCATAACTTCTATGTACACCTACTCCAAACATTGTACTATAGACATGATCCAATATGTAATACAAAGTTAAGTTGCACAACCTTGCAACTTAAAATCTATGGTTGTTACTAATAGAATTGTTGCAACAAGAATTGTTTTGTTAGATCTCACGCTACAATGATGCAAGGACAGATTGAATACCAGCTATTTATTATTACATCATTACTACACCATAGTTGGAGTAGCTAGAGAGAGTAGGTTGTGAGCAACTCTATTCTATTCTGCTAACATTTTTCTCCAAAACTTCTTCTCACTTTTACGCCGCTTGTGCAATCATGAACAAAAGTGGCTGGTTCCAGAACTGCAAAAAAGCTAGTGACGATATAAATCAGGTTGAGGTCAATGTGGCCCCTGGACAGTACCTTCATGTCGACTAAATCAGCAGCAACGATGAAACATGCGTGAGTAGCAAGTAAGCTAGTGATCATCACATTCGTTTACTAGGTGAGTCCCCAATGCAAAATATGGAGATGCCGAAGCTGCTGTTAGATTGAACAATGTTTTCAGAGATTGAATTTCTCGTAGTTCGGCGATTAGCCACCTGACACATCCATGGCACTATCTGTGTTTTGGTGAAGAGATCACCCGGAAGCGTTTCGTAATTTGAAACAACAGAAATTATGTACCAACTCGTACACACTTTGATTTGAAGACTTCGTTACTGAAAAATATATGCATCAAGGAATCAAATGAGGGTACCGCTCGTCATTTTCTTCTGAATAGAATTTAGAGAAAGTAAATTTAAACGGCGGAGTTATTTGTTGTCAAAACTTCGACAAGCCTCGTTATAGCAGGTTCAAGGAAGATTAAAAACTTAGTTGAGCATAATTTGTAAGGATAACAGCTACTCAAAGTTCACAGGAAAAAAATGATAATACTAGTTGACCTTGAAAATTACATCACTTAAACATTCTGTATTAACAGTATTCTTGTGGATTCAGTGACCCAAGAAAATGATGTGAATAGATAGCTAAGTTTTTAGGAAAAGTACGGAAGAAATGTTTTTAAGCTAGTCATGAAGTTTTGTTATTGAAAATTACAAAAAGTGTGACCCGCGTTGGTTTCCACTGACTAGATTTGCTTACTAAAATCTCTCCCATTGCATCTACTGGTTTGGCTTTTGAAGCTAGCATAGCAGTTTCCTGGCCTTCTCCTGTACAAGCAGGCCTCGTTAGTTATTGCAATTTACTCGTTTAGCCATATTTTTTTCATTTGGTAGGGGCTAATTATTGCGCGCCAGTAAGATTGAAACAGTATGATATCCGTTTCGAATGCATCTAGTATTGCGGCTTGTGTAGTAGCGTAGCAAATCCGTACACAATTTCGACGCGGATATCTCCGCAGCAATGGTAAGTCGATAATCAGTTTGAGACAAAGGCGGGAACACCCTGATTCAAGATCAGATAGATCGGACACATACATCGAGCATGAAAGCAAGCATTTTATTGCATAAAAAGAATCAATGTGCTACGGCAGAATCGGTTCCCAACCTCACATATTACCTACCAGAAATCTACGAATACCCTATCGCCCTCGGACGAGATCTCCTTACAACACAAGAGCAAGAAATCCAGCAGCCGCCACACCAAACACTACGGAGTGTTGAATAGCCGAAGCTCCGGAGTCGGCAGGCGACGGACCGGGAGAACCCACCACGGGTGTACCACCTGGACTGGACTGGGGAGATCTGCCAGCAACAGGGGGCGTGCCAGCAGAAGGCCCTCCTGCGGGAGTTGAAGGGACAGTTGGAGAAGACGGTGCGAATTCTGGGGCATCAACAGAGGGCGAAGACGTCGGAGATGAGGCAGGTGACAACGGAGGGGTGAACATAGTGGGAGGAACCGCAGGCATCGGTGGTGCTGAGAAGCCGGGAGGCACGTCGAAACTAGGAGGAGCAGCAAAGCCTGGAGGGACATCAAAGCCTGGAGGAGCAGCGAAGCTCGGAGGAACATCGAAGCCTGGAGGTGCAGCGAAGCCCGGAGGAACATCGAAGCCTGGAGGCGCAGCGAAGCCTGGAGGGACATCAAAGCCTGGAGGGGCAGCGAAGCCGGGAGGAACATCAAATCCTGGAGGGGCAGCGAAGCCGGGAGGAACATCAAATCCTGGAGGGGCAGCGAAGCCTGGAGGGACATCGAAGCTGGGAGGGGCAGCGAAGCCTGGAGGGACATCGAAGCTGGGAGGGGCAGCGAAGCCTGGAGGGACACCGAAGCCTGGCGGAGTAGCCAAGGCTGGACAACTCGTAGTATCTACTTGCACGTTGCAATCTCGTGGCAATGAGAAGGCCTTGGTCTGGTTAACAGCGGGATACACGTCCAGCGACGACACAGCCTGACACAAACAGACGGGATCGTTCATGTTCAAGGATTCAATGGATTGGCAACACATCGGTGGTGGAGTCAGCTCCGGTCCCGACACATACGCTAAACATGGCGTCAAGGAACTGAGCGCCCCAGTACAATCTGGACCGGTCTGTGAAGCCACTCCTGCAAACAGCGTCGCAGCGACTAACATCGCTATACACATCCTGTACGCCATCTTTACCGATCCGCACACAAACCACCCGTGAGTCTCAATGACTTCGATCAAACACCTGTACAAGTGACAGAACCTACCGAACCTTCTAGATCCCAGACAATGCAGATCGATTGATCCAACAATGTCGGCGGGAGAGCTCGCGTCTCCGAGCCACAGAAGACTGGAGCAGGGACGGGGCGGGACTGCTCAATGAAGACGAGCGTGCCCCAGTTTTATGCATTCAAGGGACTAATTCCATCGCACGGCGCTACAATTTTTCGCCTAATACATCTGAGCTGGTAATGCCGAGCTACCCATTTGGAGGGAGCAATGGGCAAGTTTACTAAAACCAGTTGCGCTCTATCCGGGCGGACTAGTTTAGCGGTGTGGAGCTCAAACTTCCGCAGAATGCTAGCGTGCTTCAGGAAATTATGGCGAAGACTCAGGTGATGATGGCACATGTCTTCACTACAACGTCGTCCTTTAGTACTACAAAAGCCATATCAGTGGGTAATATCAACCTGGGCGGGACTTATGAAATACTTCGATTCATTCCTGACCCTGCGTTCGATTCGAAAGTAGAATCATTGAGAATATTGTTGCAGAGTCTAGTAGATGATGTCGGTCATTCATCGTCTCAGCTACTCTCGGTCATCGGAGAGTTTCGAGTGGGTTTTCGGGTCACCGAAGCAAACCAAGTTTGATGCTTCAGATCGTTTATTCTACTGAAAAAACTACGCCTCTTTTAAACACTAGTGCAACATTTCAATCGGGTTAGATCGTATGAATGTCTACTTTAGATCTGGAAGTGGTTATTTTAAAAAGGAAAATAAGTGTCTCAAATTACTTTGTCAGAATGACCAATATTTCTTTTGCATTTTATTCATTCATTTATTTATTTATTTCTCCTTTTTCTCTTCTGTGATTTGGCTGATTGGTCTTGAGCTTAACAGTTATTTTTAGACCTGAAGGAATTGATAGATGTTTTCAGCCAGGGAGTTGAGTTGGGTGTGCACCCTTGACATGGGTACAATAAATAACAAAAGGACTTGGGCCTGTGGAAAGCCTCAAACTCAATTGTTCATGTTAAATGTTGGTTGCATTTTTCAATGTGTGATCATTTTTTTTGTTTTAACAGGGAACAGTAGTTGCATTGAAAAGATGAGCATTCATTGGGAACATTAAGAACTTCAAAATTTTCAAATAGCCATAATTCATGGATTTTTATATATAAGTTTGATTATGCCTGATCAAAACATCTCTTATTTCGAAGTAATTAACTTCTAACACACAATTTGATTTTTTAACTCATAAAGGAATGTTTCATAACAAACATATTACAAAATAAAAACAAAAGTTGATTATCTTGGAATAAATAAGTCAAAAGTAAGTTCATATAATAAAGCAACGACCCAAATGAACAAAAATAATAGTAAACTAACTACCCAAATAAACAAAAATGAGTAAATAATTTATACATAGGTTACAATTGTTTTTCATTTTATTTCAAAGCATTAATTTTTTAAAATAAAATTCTTTTAGAGCTTGTTGAAAATGATATCTATATATATATATATAGATATAGTGTTAAGAAGTCTTCCATAAAAATAATCATTGTTTCTATTTTATTGCTTATTTTAAAAAAAATCTTGTTCATGCTCTGGGACAAGGAGTCGTGGCAGCACTACTCACAGGGGGAGGAGGTCCAGAACTTGCGCACGGACTAGGAGTTGCTTTCTAAGCCCTTTTGAATATTTATTGTTATTTTTATTATTAATTTTATATAATATTGTGAGTTAGTTTAAGAACTTATAATTTTTTAAAAATAATACCATATGGTTTGGAAGAAATTAAGAATTGTCTTCGTTAATACCAACTATTTTAAATAATTAATTCCATAAAATATGTAAAATATTAATTGTTTTATAATATTTTTAGTTTTTTAAATCATACATTTTAATGTCATCAAAAAAAATTAATAAGTAGCAAAGACAGAAATCTTCAAAAACTTTTTAGAAGGTAACATATTCATATACAACAAAAAAAAACTAATATATATATGTATATGTGTGAAAAAAAGAAATACTATAAAAGTTGTTATGAAGTATAGTATGATGTAGAGAGTGTTAAACCATCATTAGATTTATAAAATACTATTGACATGGCTAAAAATGGCCTCGATTATGCCCCTAAATATACTAGCTAATAAGAAGATCATTAAAAAACTTTATAAGAACACACAATTTTTGAGCCAAATACCCAAGATGTAAAATGATTTTATAATGATTTTCCAGAATAGTAATCTATTATCAAAAATTTACATAGCCTTATAATGTATTTGTAGATCTGATTTATATTAAGGAAACTTCTTCAATATTGACTGAAGAAAATATAATGCACCTAATCTACTTCTATTTATTTCTACTTAATTTTATTTACGTAAGTAATATAGACATTTTTAACATTGAATTTTTAAAATCAATAAAAATATCTAATATTTTTGTTTAAAATCAAATTAACTATATTTAAAAATCAAATGTATATTGGTTATTATAAAAATATATTTAAATATATCATAAAATAAATATATGCATATATATATATATACATATATACATATATACATATATACATATACATATATATATATACATATATATATATACATATATACATATACATATATATATATATACATATATACATATATACATATATACATATATATGTATAAATATATTATTTTTATTTTTTAATATTTAAATTAAATAAATTAAACTATTAGACATTAAGTATAAAATTAATTATTATTATTTTTTAAAATTTTAATATTTTAGAATAAAATAATTTAATCACGAATAAAATACTACAATGTTAAGTTATATATAATATTAAATATGTATTATTAATAAATTATGCTTTTGAAATCTATCACATTTAAATTAAATTGTGCAATTGCATCTATGAATTATTAAGTTAAAATTTTCAATTGATATTGCTTTTTTAATGTAATTTCTTCAAGTTTGTAAAAATAAAACCCTCCTATTTTAGATATTAATAGAAAACTTTAAAGTCATTCTTAAGAATCTAATATCAAAGACAATTTTTTCTATTTTAAAAGACATCTACATGTATTTTAGAAGGTCAAGTATAATTATATGAACTTTAAACACAATTAAGTATACTTTAAGAATAATATAAAATTTTAATATTAAAATATTTTAGTTATAATAAAACTTTAGAGCTTATTTCAAGAAAAATTCAGTGACCTCAAATATACAAAGCTATATAATCATTTGTTCAATCTTTCAATTTTTGTTCTCAAGCAAAGACTTTACATCATCAATTCTATAGACTTCTTGAAGTTCTAATTATTTTAATATAAACTTGCTATCAAGGATATAAATCTCAAAGAAAGAGAATCCTCAATACACTCTTTGATCATTGAAAAGAACTAGAAAGTCACTCAAAAGGTGATGTAATATTAACTAGAATGGTTATTGCCAAAAACAAGAAGACTAAAAAAGTCTTGAAACAAGACTAAGACTAGAAATTCATTGACAAGAGTGAAGAAGGCCTCATTCTTGCCTCCATATATACTATCTAACTAAGAACTATGTGGGAATGTCCTATAAAACCTCCAACATGTCTTGACTTTGCTAGTCACATGTCTTAACTTGCAAAGCAAGTTATCTATGTATGCACCACATAATGTTCCACAAGCTACTATATGGAGATAACATGTTCCACAAGCTACCAATACATGGTTAGCTTGTTAGTCAAATTTCTAACCTACAAATACATCTAAAGTCAAAATCGCATCTAGAAGACTTTATGGAATTAATCTATATTTACCTATTTCTATCTAATCATATAAGTAATTATTGGAATTAATGTATGTGTTTGTGATATTGCCCCTCCTTTTAGAGACGAGTTCCTTTAAGAGTAATTTTCATATGTTGAGGAAGTCCAAGATGCGACGAATTTTATTTGTTATATACTCTGATCTTTGTTTTCTTTGAAGATGGTTGATAGGTCCTTTCAACCATCTAAGTGTTCCATATCAAGGCGAGAAGACCACCTTCTTATTTGGTCATTGTTGAGGCCTTCATCACTTCATTTAAATAAAACATTTGGAACATTGTCAAGAGTTATTCCTATGTCTAATAAAATCACTTAACATCGGGAGTCTCTTCTAAGATCATGATACAAACATGTTATATCTTGCCATCTATTTGAGGAAAGATATGTCGTTCTTGAAGATCTTTATCTCAATTTTGTTATTTTGAAGGTTGTGACAATTACAATGTCTTATTTGGTAAGTTTGCAAATGAAAGCTCTTGAATTGAATCTGTTGGTTGTTGGTACTTCTCTTCAATATCACAAATACACAGAAGCTATAATGAAAGATAGAAAGTAGAATGTAATTTTTCTTTGATCTTCTTTCTTTTATAGCAAATATTTGCTATTCTTTATCTTGGTATTGATGGATATCATTGATGAAAGTCTTCAACTTTCATTGCTATATTTATAAGATTCTTTGATGGCTCCCATATGTATTCACTAATATCATATCCATACTAATGAACAAGATATTTCAACCTATTTTATTGCCGCCTTGAATCTAACACTTCTTCCACCTCAAATTCTTGATTATCATCTACTTGTATAGGAGGAGGTAGTATTTGTCTTCTTTCCAAGATATTCACTATCTTTTACGGCTCAACAAGAGACACATTGTCGTATTATAATTTGGCTACTATATGAAAATAATGTAATTATGTACTTAATATATAATTTATTAAGTAACATGGTGAGAGCCGTGTTAGTAGATTTTAGTTGGTTGTAGAATATAATTTGATTATTACCTTGAAAAGAGGTTATTTAAAAGGATTACTATTGAATTTATATAACTTTAATTTCCTTTTGATAGTGGCTTTTAAGATTGATTTTGGTTGATAGTAACTTCTAAATATTTAGAGTCACCTTTATTAAACATTGGTGACCTTTAGAAATTTATTTTGTTTCTTTTATTTAGTGTTTAGAGCATAAATTATGTAAATCTTATAAAAAAAAGAATTAAAGAAGGATTTTGATAGCAAAGGGAGTAATTAAGGCACCAATTGTCATGGACATACATTGGAAGATTCTTCGAATATTCTTTTAGAATATTCTCTAAAGATTCTCTAAAGATTCCTTTAGAAGGTTTTAGAAGATTTTTAGAATATTCCCTAAAGATTCTCCTAGAAGGTTCTAGAATATTCTTAGAAGATTCTAGAATATTC